AGGTGCTTTGGGCTTGGTCTCTCCATGTGATGACAGTAACCTCGCTGGGTAGACCCAAATGATTCCCAATGCCCCTTGTACCTTTCTCTCCTATTCCAAGTATTGGAGTTATACAGTTTTTCTTCCAAGAACTCCCTAATTTACTGGCTCAATAAAGTAGAAACCATTTTAAAAGGCATTATCTATCACGTGACCTTGAACAAGTTACTTCACCTCTTTGGATTTCAATTTTCTCCTGGGTTTAAGGCTGAAAGGAGATGAGTACAAAGCGGCGGCCATAATCATAGTCCTCTCTGGCTCACGAGCGGTAGGCCCATATACATAGGACAAACCCAGCCCGCACTGAACAGCAGGTACCTGCCTCCATGTGATCAGTGCCAGGAGGGCACTTTCAGAAGCGGGCTCTCCCTAGCAGAGGGAGCAGACAGCTTGTTACCAGATGCTGGCAGAAGCTGAATGTGCTTTGTGCATACCGCTAGACTATGAGACTCCATGAGTGCCTCTAACCTCACTTTGGGGAACTTGTGAAGTTCCTACAAAGATGCGGCTGGGACGAAGGCTCAGCACTAGCTGTGATTGCTGGGAATCCGAATGGGCCCGATTCACTGTCCAGCGTCAGGACACTGGGCTCAGAGCATTTGCAGGAACCCTCAGTTTATGAGCAGCCACCAGGCAGAGTATGGACACTGGCCCGAAACCCTGCTCACTGAGTTATCGGGAGGGCAGGACATGTTCTCTCCCCATGAAATAATAGCCTAAGAGCAGCTTTTCCCCCAAAGGAAAAAGGGTGGAGGAGAGGGGAAAGGAAGAACCCAAAACAGAGACTGAAAATGAGAGTTGACCTTGCTGGGCAGAAGCAGACGACTCTGTCTCCTTACATTCTTCTCTCCTATGCTAAGTGATGACAAGTGAAGGTTATAGCTGGGGTCCAAGGCGAAAACACCTTCTCCTGGCAAGTTTTGGATAATAACAATCCCTTATGCTTGAGTAGCACATTTATAAAATGCTTGCACACAATTTCTCACCTGACCCTCACAACAAACTGTGAAGCGTGGATAGCAGTGGACAAAAACCTCCAAAATTCAGATGAGGTCATTGAAATGCTGTGCAGTTACACAACTTGACCAGGATCCCACAGCCGGTCAATGGAACTTGGAGAGTCAGCTCGAGATCCCAATTACGTCATTCTTCCCATTTTGGAATTATAGGTGGTCCCCAACTTATGATGATTCAACTTCCGATGTTCCAACTTTACGATGGTGCAAAAGCAATAGGCACTGATTTTTTTTCCTGGGCTAACGATGTGCAGTACGATATGCTCATTATGCTGAGCAGTGGCAGTGAGCCACAGCTCCCAGTCAGGCCCAGGATCATGACGGTAAACACCAGATACACTGCAATGTGCTGTGTTGCCAGCATTTGGGGGGCAGGGGAGGGGAATATTGTATTCTGAGCATGTTTAAGTTAGTGTTCAGTAGGTTATGTCTATTAAATGTATTTCTCACTGAGGATATTTTGAATTTAGGAGGCGTTTATTAGGACAAAACTCCCTCGTAAATAAGTCGAAGAGCATCTGTCCTCTGCAATGTCGTTGCCTTATAGCCAGTGCTCCGGGGTATTATGCTGTTGCATGCATGTCCCAGAAGGGGGTTTTGCAAGGGGTATGTTGGCACTGGCTGAAGACGTCAGCACCCCTTGACCTCGAAAAGTGTGCCTTCAGCTTGTCCTTCTCAACCCTGAATAAAAAGCATCCTCAGACATAAAAGATGCAGTTTAAGGGAGTCTGTGGTAAAGCAGAGGGCTCCTAGGAGAACCCCACTTGTGGTGTCCCACCCCTTTCTGTAGTTGGACTTGCATATGCATGTGTGGCATGATTGGCATGCTTACTTTTTCTAAAGCCTAAAACACTAAAATGAGACCCTACTAATCAGTGCCACAAGGTGGGAGGTGATGTAGGCAACAGCTGTTATCAGCAGGGCTCCCTGAGCAGCCTCCTCCAGGGGCTGGCATAGGCCTGGGATAAGGGAAACCCACCCAGCGTCCCCTCAGACCTTCGGGTAGAGCTGGATGAGATGAAGCAAGAGAACCCTGCTTTACTTTTAGCTTAAGAAGCCGAGAAATGTAGGTTATATATTTCAAAGATGCAGTCAGAGATAATTAATGTCCTAAAAGAGAAAGATATGTCAACACGGATAATGATGTTAAGCTCTTATTCTACAGTTTGAAAACTGTGACAGAAGTGATTGCCTCACTTCTAAGTGTCTGTTCCTTATGAAAAGGGTTCTGACAACGCATTGCTACACACACAGCCTTCTTTTAGCAGCCGACCCCCAGTCCAGCATTATCAGCTCCCCTGCTGCTGTAAGGCATCCTCTTTCATTATTTCGAAGACTCCTTCCTAGATACATTTGATGGCTTAAAGTAATTCAAACAACCATGTCTCAGATTCCTATCAAAGGAGGAAAACACAGAAAAGTTGTGAAGTTAGAAAACTTTGTATCAATTCTTTACAAAAGGATTTTTTGAGGCTTGTTATCATCTCACACACACAGACTTGTTCTGAGAGGCCGCGTTACTAGCTGCTGAGAGCATAAACCTTGGGACCAGACCACCTGGGTTTCAATCTTGGTTACCCCGCCTCCTGGCTGTGACACCTTGGGCAAATTAACCTCTCTGTACCTGCTTCCTCCCAGGGAAAGTGGAGATAATGGTGCCTACCTCATGGGGTTATTAGGAGGATTAGATGGATTAATATATGTAAAGCACTTAAAACGGCGTCTGGCACATAGCCAGAAGTCGCTCCCATTAACTGGCTGCTCACTGCAGCTTTCTGAGCATGTGGTTCTGGTCGTTACATGTCATCCGGAGCAAGTCTGCCAGTGGCTCTAACTTCATTTGTACATTCTGAAGGAGTAAAATATGGTTGCAGGTAAATTTTTTTGGAAAGCTATATTATGAGAATCAATTGCAGTCTGGTCATGGGCGGGGGGGGGGCGGCTGAGCGGGGAGGTGCTCTCGGACAGAAACTCCTTTTGCACTGAGGACCTGAAGCCGATGAATTCCACCCTTTGCCGTCCACAGGGGTTACCGGCAAGCCTTTTATTATTTGGAGTTCTACCAACCACACAGAATTTTGTGTTTTCTTTGCAGATTGGATCAAGAACCACCAAATGCCAATGGGAAAGTAAAAATCCCATGCATGGCTCCGGCTGCCTTTTGTCAAGTTGAGCCCACATTTTCATCTGATGTGTCATCGGAGAGATGCCTCCTACTTCTGTTACTTTATTATGTACATAAGGCAAATCACAAGACGTAACCTGCCACAAGTGCTAGAGTTAAACCTGCCAAGGCACACGTCACCGGTAATTGCCTTTGCAGATCATAGCTTCGGTTCCACACTCTCCCACAGATGCTCCAGCCCTGTAGCTCCAAGGCCCAGCCCAAACGCGGTTCAGAGCATCAGGAAACAGGACCCCTCCAGACAGACTTGCAGCAACCTTGGGAACAGTGGGTATCCACACAGTCCTACTGCATTGCAGAGCCACTGCGTTCTGGAGACTGTGGGGTCCTTTTCCACTGATAGTGAAATTTGCTTTCTAATCAGGTTCTTTCAGAGGACTGCTTTCCCATTTTAAATAAACAGGCTTCAGCCTAAATATTTATCCAGCATGTTTGAAGTTTTACTGCATAAATCACCTTTAATTAATCTGTTATCTGTAAAATGCCTCTTCCAAGTTCTTTGGGAAATAATTTCAAGATGGATAAGACATCATAAAAGCACATCATTTGCAGTGCCCTCAGTTCCACTTATAAAATGTTCATTTGGCATCCATCCTTTCCACGTTTGATTGATTAGAGCAGCTTACTCTCTGGCTCTCATGCAACATTAACCAAACCAAGATACACGATGCCCCATGTGGCCACAGGACTCCAGTGACCCAAGGTAGGGAAGTCTCTTTGCTCAGAGAGCAGGTAAAAGTAATCCTGTGCTCTGCCATGTTATTCTCCAAAGGCTTCACATCCCAGCGTCCTCTCACAAGATCTCAGACCTGCATGCTAATATGAATAATCAGCAGGTTACTGGGAAATACAAATACCCCAACCCTTCTCAAATGATGCCAATAATCTTTCAACAAATACAGAGCTCCAATGCATTAAAGAATGCCAGGGCTGTGAAAACATTATTAGAATAAGTGCCTTTCAGAAAATCAGCTAATACCCTGGTCTACTGAGCTTTAACACAATTCTGCCTTTAAAAAAAGTTAAGACGCTTATTTACATTAGTTGCTACCTTTTCAGTGAAGGAACAAATGTCAGGTTTTCTTAGCTCTTCAATGAAAAAAATATTAAAAACAGATATTGAGGGCCGGCCGAGTGGCGCGATGGTTAAGAACTGGCTTGGGACGCCAGAGGGCCCCGGTTCAGATCCCACATATGAGGGCCAGTGACACTGCCCTCTACAGCTAAGATGCTGAACAACAGCTCAACCTGGAGCTGGGCTGTCAGGAGTCGCTGGCGACGGCGTAGGCTGCAGCCCCTGTGGCAGTGGGTTGCCATGGGCTACCGTGTGTAGCCAGCAGCCAGCGTGAGCGGCCCTCAAGCTGCTGTGAGTGGCCGTCCAGAAGCCGGCGACTGATCTGCCTCGGCCGGGAAGAGTGCAATGATGGTGTCAACTTGGGCCAGTGAAGCAACGTCCTCCACAACTAGACTGAAGAACAAAAGGACAGCAACTTGTCTGTTCCCCTTCCCCAATTCCCCAGCACTGTTCCCATCCCCCCAATTCCCCAATAAAAAACAAACAAACAAACAAACAAAAACAGATACTGAGGCAAAGTAAAAGACAAAAAGGTCAAGGTTGACATTGCTCATCCTTTGAATTTGAGCTCCGCTCACTGAAATGAACTCCTTGGAAGCCAGAAAACATCTCATCCTAACACTGGCATTGAAACTTTAAATAAGAGTACCTTTGGGATGACTCAAATAAGAAAAATCAGAGCAACCAAAGTTTAGTTCAATTTTATTTTCCACTTTTAGTATTTTTCGAATTATACAACATGCAGTCTGCCAGAGTATCCATACGTCTTCGTTTTAGAACCTAGAAGATAACCAAATTTCCCATGGGCCAAGGAGGGTTACTTTCAGATATTTTATTGTATGTACTATATTACAGCATCATTACTTGATATAAACTGCCATTCTCCCCTTCAAACCACCAAAACAAGTGTCCACAATTTTTTAATGAAAGCTACTGTACAGATACATAAAGCCCAGAGAATACACATCTGCAGTACACACTACATACTTTACAAACTAGACATGAATAATTCTACAGAGTGCCCTATTCCCCTTACAGCTGCACACAATGAAAAGTATTTAAAACTGATACACAATTTGTGAATGTGTAAGCAGGCTTCGTGGAGCGGTGCTTCCTTCGGCAATGACCAGGCCCTTGTTCCATATTTTTAAAAGTCTAAATTGTAGTGTTAAATGAAGCCACTGTAGACTATGATGGTTCCTTCAACTTGCTCAAAGGTGAGACAATGCAGTGAAGTAAAATCCTTCCCCTGACCCCTGCCAGTAAAAACCTTCCCCAATATATCCTTCAGCCAGAGTCCAAATGTCTTCTGCCCTGCTAAAAAAATGCACTTCAAAGAGGGGACTGCGAAGAGCTTTTATTTGCTTTCCATTGTTCCTGAAGGAAAGAAGACCTGACAAGTCCTCCGTGAGTCCTGGTGATGGCTTGTCTGGCTTTGGACAGGCATATCACATCCTTATGTGCATTTAGGGCTTCAAAATACACTAGATGCTACATTCTAGACAGACACTTTTATTTCTTCATTTATCCCAATACATCTATAAATTCTAATTTTCTTAATCATATGATACTCTTTCAAGTCTTAATCCTCGCTTATTGTTCTCCCTACTACCTGCCATTCAACAAAATGTTTTTTGTTTTTTGTTTTTTAGAGATGATGCATTTGTACAGAAGTTTCTAGTAACAGGCCTAAACATATATATTATTTCAGTCTCCAACCATAAATCTTGATATCCCAAACAGCATTCCTCTAATTAACAATCCATTCTCCTGCAGGTAGATTATCTGTATAAACTATCTGGTGTTCCCTTATAAAATCAAAGAGTAAACTTTCAAAAAGTAGCATGACATATAAAATTATTCATAGAGAAATGCACACACACACACACACACACACACACACACACACACACAAGCAAAAAGCAGCATACAATCAAAAATATATCCATAGGCTCGGCCATTCAGAAGTGTGGTTTTTATGTTTAGAGTCCAAATGTAAAGGAGCAATAGTCTAAAAACATAAAAATTACATAAATGTGGCTTTTTAAAGTAAGTGGCCTATAGAGTATATGGTCCTGATATCAGCTTATTATACAAAGTAATATTTAGGGATCCGTTTGAATATACTATAAAATCCATTCCAATAATCTACCTAAGTATTAATCACAGCGTAGGAAAATTAGTTTAGAGGTCCTATAAAGATCAAAGCTAGGTGAACTGACTGGCTGATCAGCAACTAGCAGAATTATCTTTAAGCGACATCAAAGCCAACTTTCTCTGTGAATAAAAGTAAAGTGAATTTTGTGAGTCCCTTGTAGAGATCAAGAAATATGGAAAGAACTACAAGTAAATGTTTCTTTTTGAAACATGAAAGGACCAAGCAATTCTTTAGAAGTAGAAAAGGGGTACCCAGGGAAAAATTTCTTTGGAAAAAAATCTAAAATAATCTATTAACAAGAGAACCAAAAAGAAATTACTGACCTTTGTTCAATTACCAAACACAAAGTAATACAGTTGCTAAGACAGTAGTGGCATAACAATTATTAATTGGCAATCCTCTCAAAGACCAATGTTTTAGCTTTGAAAATATGATATAAGGTTATAATCTATGGCATGTTATCACCTAATGGTTTGCAAAACCTGCCCTACAAGCACCCTTCTATCAGACTGCAAATAGCGATCGAGCTATTATATTTTACTGGCAACAACATAAAATCAAACAGAAGATTTTTTAAAATGCAAATGAATGCAAAATTGTCATCTTTAGCAAATAAATAATTCATCAGTGGAATTCATCCTCTTCTCTCTTACTCCACCCCCAAAAAAACACACATAAAAAAAGTGCAACATTTAATAAATAAATTAAGTCAAAGCAGCTTTGCTTTGTTAGGGAATTTTATACAAGAGTTTGGAAGTCAATTCACAGTCCTTAGTGATTTATCATCTCTTTCTCTCTTATACACACACACACATGTACACACACACACAGAACTATCTTCCACCCACACAGCCACCAGAAAGCCCACTATCTCCTCTGGCATACATTTCATTCTAGTGGTGACAGCAGCAGGGACAGTGCCGGCTCACTCATCTTGGGCAAGCACGACAGGATGGGTGCTTTTCACCGAGATTGGTTTGGTTGTCATTGACTTACCCTCAAATTTGTCACAACAGTAGCAGCACAGAAGACCAATTTAATTGAATCCTTGTCAGTTTCCCTGAAAACTTGACTACTTGGAAATCCGTCATTTTAATATTCACAACTGGAAGTAAGAGTTGATTCAGCTTTAGATTCATGTATTTGAATACCATAGAGCTGAATATTTAAAAAAAAAATCCATCCATTCTGATTTCTTCTAATTCTAAGAAGATGAAACCTATCTATTTGATGCCAGAGAGAACTCAGCAATGATGGGTTAAAATAACAACTTATTCATAAGCACAAAAAATTTCTCAATTATTTTCTTCCCAGGGCTTCTTCCTCTTTCAACCACTGGAATGATCCTGGATTTTGGCAGCAATACCCCCTCAAGGCTTAAGATGGTTGGTTCCCTAGTGAAAGAGGCCATCCCAATTTCAGCTCCAATAGGATCAGGGAGGAGGGGGGCAGGCCCATTTCCACTCACCCAACTGTGTAGCATTTTCAACACTTCTGAAGGAATGATGGGCTGGCTGAGACGAGTTGCTGCAGGTTCAATAGCAAGCAGCCCAAAGGTGAATTTTATGACTTTTCGCATTTACACAGATGTATTTGAATGAACAAATTCTACACTGCTGCTGTCAAGATTGTTTTTCTGCCTTGAAGAAATTTGCTTTGCATTTTAACGGGTGCCATACTAAAAGGTGTATTTTACAGATCCAAAGATGTGACCAGGGTATTCAAAATGCTTCCTTGGAGTAATTTGTTTCGGAAAAGTGTTCAGAATGAAAATTTTGAACCCGATAAGCAGCACTTTTTTTTGTTCCCTAAAAATATAAAGTAATGTGTTTATTTTACAGGAAACCAGACAGTTGCAGCAGAGCGTCGTGACCATGGCACATGAGGGTGTTTGCTGGGACAATGCCGAGAAAGGAGGCTCCTAGAGACCATCAAAGGCCCCGAGGCCGAGGCCGCAGCAATGGTTTCCAGGAGTAAGTGGAGCCTCTGTAATCATCCGCTTCAGATTTCTCAGGAAGAGAAAAGTCCAAGCACAACATCTGTACACAGAAATTCTACACAGCTCGAATACCTGAAACTGGTATACTGCAGATGGCTGGGGTAAGCAAGTGTAAAAGAAAATGGGAGTTGTGTAGGAGGGGGGGGAAAATAAAGGAATTGGTGATTAATGTCTTCCTTGACATGCTACATGGAGAGTCAGGTCTGTTGAAAGAGAACCAAAAAGAGAACACAGGTATTAGAGAACACAGTGGAAAGTCACTCCTCACAAAAAAAAAAAAAAAAAATTAATTCTCGATATTTATACGAGGGCTGTTCAATAGAAATATCAGACAAGCCATATAACTTTAAATTTTCAAGTGGCCACATTAAAAAGTGAAAAGAAACAGGTAAAATTCATTTTAATAATATATTTTATGTAACCCAATATATTATCATTTCAACATGTAATCAGCATTCCGTGTTGAGATATTTTACATTACAATACTGAGATATTTCACAGTCGGTTTGCCAGTGTTTGCAATCTGGTGTATCTTTTACACTTTTAGCATCTCTCACTGGAACTTGGCCACATTTCAAGCACTCGGTTGGCACATGTGGCTCTAGTGGCCAGCTGCTTGGACGGCACAGCCTCCTACCTACTACTTTTAAGTGTTTAGCCCTGACAACAGTGTCTTCCAAAAGTCAGCATCTATTGAAACTATAGATACTCAGAGAAACATGACACATTTTCTCATTCCTAGGGGGCAAGTCCAATACCATTTCTCAACTTGCCAGCACTTGGGATGCCAAGGCAGGTCAGACACAGCACCTAACCCAGGCAGTCTCTCCAAGAGAGAGGGTCCCAGTCCCAAAAGGCTTGTTTCACTTGCACAGGGTAATGAAGTTACTCAGCAGATTGCCCCCTTTGATTTCACTCCACTTTCTACCAGATGTTCACCTGATCACAATCAAGGTCTCCAGGACGAAAGACTGGCCAGCCCTTCGGACCAATCCAATAAACTTGTGTCAGCCAGAAACTGAGAAGTTCAACTTCCTCCCACCAGCTAGAAGCCCTAGGACTGTCTGTGACCTCAACTACAGGTTTTGTGCAGAGCTCATGGCTGCTGGGTGGGGAGGAGGCCACCAGAGCAGTGGGTAGGGCCTCATCCCTGAGAAAACCATCAATTGCCCAGCACAGGAGCTACGACAAACACAATGAAAAACCCAGCTGCTCTTTTGATTTTAGAAAGAACTCTGTAACCTGACACATAGTGTTTGTTTTTGCATCTAGAAGGCTTATGTGCAAATTCAGTGCTCAACTGTGGTAAATATGTCATATTCCTGCTACAATGTTCCCTTCCTCTCTAATCTTTCTCTCTTTACACGCCAGATTTATGAGTTATAATAATGTAAGCAACTTCACATATTTTGTATAAATAAGGAGGGTGAAAATTATAAGTAGAAAAAAATTAGGGCGTGGAAATGGACTATAAAAGTAGATAAGAGCAAGTGGGTTAAAAAAAAAAAGGAATACAGAACAGAAATTGAATAGAAAAAAAAGAGAACCAGTTCTTCTTAAGAATATCGCCTCCTCCGTGACACAAAAAATAAATATTCAGGGAGCTCATTTGGTAACTACTGTCTCTTGCTCCAGTTTAATTGCTCACAATGACAAAGCTGCTCAATTAAAAGTGGTTTAAACAACCTTATATGGTGATATCCACATGGTTTTTAGAAATCACGGAGAGAGAGATTTGTCTTTGAGAAGAGCATCTTTAATGTTTAGCCTTTCTGGTGAGATTTTTATGCTTATGGTTAGGACCACAAATGAAAAACCTGAAAGCATGGTGATAGTTGTCATTTAAATCCACTGTGAGCTGAAAACCAGTAGGTGCAGGAACGCTTCTGGAATACCACCACTGAAGTCGCCGCCATTTCACTTTCCTTACAGGTTCACTTTTCCACGCACACTGTCTCAGAATCAAGTAAAGGTCCCCCTGGTCAGATGAGATGGTCTTCCTGTGTGCCCAGAGGCAGGGAGGTACTGAGCACATACCTTAAATTGTAGGATTATGGCTTAATGTAGTGCCTGCTGCCAACTGATGTTGACAGAGCCAAACTCAATGAGGTGGCCTCAATAATTCCAGCAGACCATGAAGTGACATGATTTTCACAAGAAGGCCTTTCATTCAAACCCCTCACTGCTCCCATGGGCAAGATTCAGCATGTTTTGGCTAATAGTTTAGAAGAAATACGGGGCCACAAAGGAGGCCCAATCTGCTTAGTTCAGTCACCTTGAGGAGGGCGAGAGAAGAGATCTGAGACTGTGACAGGTTGCCGAAAGGAAACACAGGAACTCCACCAATCAAAGGCCCTTTATCATGAAGAGGTTGTTCTTCATCCTGAGTTAAAGATCTTTACATGCCTGTCTGCCAAAGCAATCTTTCCAACGAGCCTAAGAAAAATAGATCCACCTAGGATATTCCCATCCATCCCCCGACTATCAGGGTGTCCATCTCCTCAGATAAATCTGGGAGAGAAAATGGATATAACTTATAAAGGTAAATGGGTTCGCCTCAAGAGAAACTGTTTCTGTCTGTTCTGGTCACACAGACCGGCCAACCGGGTAGGTTGGCCAATCTCCAGGACATTTAACACCCAGTTCTGTTGACCTTGTGAGGTGGTTCAGAGCTGTCACTCACTCACCTGAAAGCAGGTACTAGACCAAGTAACCCAACTGGACTGTCTATGGGTCTCTGCCAAACTGGAGATGCTAAATCAGAATGGCAACGCGTGACCAGGCTTAGAAGGAAATAAAATCACCTTTCTTTAGAAGGGGTGGGGAAGGCTGAAGAAAGAAGCTAATTCTATAAGAGTTTTGCAAGAAGTATTAGAGATTTCTCCCCGCCAACTCTGGCTTTTGCAATTGCTTGCCGTGGATTTACACTTAATCCAAACAGTACATAGTTTTAAATTTTCTTTTGCTTTTCTACAATTCAATCCCCACATTAAAAGAATTAACCATTGTGTTTTATGCATCACCACTGAATAGAAGTGGATTTCTCTCACAGGAGTATTAGTGCTATCTGCTGTGGAGGAATAATTTGAGTTAAACTTATAGCTCTGAGAAACAGGACGTCGAGAAGAATTCAAGTAGAGCAGCCCAAGGCACCACAGACGACATAAGAAATTCTTTCTTCTAGGTCCTCCATGTTTGCTACCTTTGAATTCACAAGGCTAGATTCAAAGTTGTACACTGCAACAGTGCCTGTGCCCACCTCCGGATACTTCTGTCCTCTCTCCCTGAAGTCTTGTCTTGTCGGTTCTTTTTAGGCCATAACATTGGCTAATATTTGTGACAGCCTAATTTTTACCAGGCATTTTTCTATGACTTTTCACTCCTTTCACATCATTTCATTCAAGTCCCAGAACAAACGTGTGATGATAGAACTATGATCCTACTTCTACATGAGATTTGTAAAAATGTAAAACAATCCCATTCTCTGCTAAGTTTTTTGTTTTGGAAAATAATTACTTTTCCTTAAAAAATGGCATCTACATTAACAGTAGTAGTCTTTTTTTTTTTTTTTTTTTTTTTTTTTTTTTTTTTTT